CTGCCTCTCCCTCTCAGCTGTAAGTCCCAGAAACAGGATTATGATCTCCTAGCTCAGTGCCTGGCACATTATCAGCACTCATTTTAGTATGTGTTGAGTGAAGAAATGATGTAGTAGAGAAAAGAAGATTTTAGAGCAAAATAAACCTGATTTTGTACCAAGCTTAACCACTTACAATCTCAGTGACCCTGGGCCAGTCTCAGCCTCAGGCTCCTCAACTATAAAATCGGGACAATAATAGAAGCAACTTTACCAGGTTATTCTGATTGAATATAACATATACACACACACAATTGTATACACAAACATGAGCAATTCAATCTATATAATCTAGAGGAATAAAAATAGCTATTATTTATTTACTACCCATGTATATACATACACACAGAAAACCCTGACCTAATGTCTAGCATACATAGACATTAAGTAAATGGTGGCTGTTATTTATTTCTCTAGATCCTAACCCAAGATAAAGGAGTATTCCAGGTCCTGCTGATTAAAAACTCATTTGCAAAAGATGAATCTGCATCTACGCTAATAGGCTTTGAGTAGTCTTACCTATCAGGGGGCAGCTCGATTGCCAAGGGGCTTCCAGAACCCCCTTTGCTTGCCAAGGACTCTACCACCCTCTTTCCTGACTTTTTTTACATAACACCAGCATTTTGCCTGTACTCAGTGTGCAAACCCAGATCATGAGACAGATGCAGAACAGGGTGAGGTTCAATGGCACAAGAGGTGGCTTGGGGAGAGTGGGGGACACTAGGAGACCTAGGTTCTAGTCTCAGCCCTAACCTGGCTGAAAGTCATCACGTCATCCTCAGTAACTCACCTGTCTTCTTTGTAAGCCTCACTCTTCTTACCTGTGAAATGCTCAGTCCCTTGTGACCAGACACCCTAGGGCTTCAGAACTTTGGATTTCATGCAGGGGTGTCCAACCCCTTGGCCTCTCTGTACCACACTGGAAGAGGAAGAGTTGCCTTGGGCTACACATTAAATACACAAATGCTAGGGAAAGCTGGTGAGCAAAAAAAAATTTTTAAAGGGTCTGCACATAATTTGGGGGGTGTCAAACACTACAGATAAGCAAAAATGTCCTCACATAATCTGCACGGTGCCTGCAGACTGCAGGTTGGACACCCCTTTAGGATTTAAGAGCTGGCTTCCAGTCTCAGCTCTGCAACTCACCATCTGGAAGGTATGGGCAAGTCACATCCCATCTCCATCAAGTGGACAAAATTCTAAGGGCTATTTTGAATAATTTCATGAGACTGTCTGCAAAGTACCTGGCAGATTCGTGCACAACTTACTAAGCTTTGTCAGGGAACCCATGGCCCAGCCCTTACATTCACTTGGTTCAGTGAATTCCCATGTTTCCTGAGTTAGATGCTCATCTGTCAGCCTTCTGGCTGGCTCAGCACTTGACACCTGCCAAAATTATTCGCAGAGAAGACATGCTCCTCACCGGGTGTGAGTGACACCAGCCCACATGCAATTATTTTAATGCATGGCCCAGGATCATCTTGTGCCCAGATTAGATGTGTTCTCAGGGGAGAGTCTTCCCTCTTGTACCCTTCAAAAGGCACAGTAAGAAAACTGCACGCTCATCTTTCCCTGAAATGCAGGCTTCATCAAGTAGTCTCCTGTCAAGGAGTGGTGCTGGTCCTGTCTGTACCATCCCAAGTGCTTGTGCCTGTGTCCTTGCTAATCACTACAGCGGACATCATGGTGGCAGAGCAGAGAAAGGAGGGCAAAATACAGTTGTGCAATCGAGTTGTCCCATCTTTTATTTATTTTTTTGAGACAGAGTCTTACACTGTTGCCCAGACTAGAGTCCCATGGCATCATAGCTCACAGCAAGCTCAGACTCCTGGGCTCAGGTGACCATCCTGCCTCAACCTCCCAAGTAGCTGGGATTACAACTGTCTGCCACCATGCCTGGCTAGTTTTTCTATTTTGAGAAGAGATGGGGTCTCAAACTCCTGAGCTCAAGGAATCTTCCCACCTCGGCCTCCCAGAGTACAAGGCGTGAGCTACCAAGCTGGGCCAAGTTGCCCCATCTTTGAGGAGGAAGAGAAGCAGCACATATGGAGCCACCCTGACATGCAGGCCCTGCACTGGCCATTTATTTAACCCTCTTTACTATTTTGTCAGGCTTACTGGTCCCCACCTTGCACTTGGGGAAACAGGTTCCAAAAAGAAAAATGAAGTTGCCCTGGGACACAGCTAGTAAAGAGCATAGCTGGGATTCAGACCTTGGCTTCTCTGAGGCCCGCAGTTCTTGCTCTGGCTACTGTGCCATTGCTGGTTATGGGAGGTCAGGGAATGCCATTGAGACCAGTTTCCTACCACTCCCCAGGCCATGAGAGAGAATACTTCAAGGGGAGTTGCCAGTGCACATCCCCAAAAGAGAGGGCAGAGGGAGCCGGGTCTTCCAGGCCCCTCTGTAGATGGCGGGCACCAGGCCCCACTACAGGCTCTCACAGACAGAACCTAACAGTCATGCCCTCGGAAGTGACTGGGCCGCAGGCATCAGTTTGCTTCCTCAGCATGTCTCAGTCTGTTCAGGCTGCGTAACAAAACAGCCCCAAACCGAGTGACCTACAAACAGCAGATGTTAAATTAATTCCTCCACTTTCCTATCTGTAAAATGAAATCAATTAAATAGTGCTACCCCATAGTCTTGTTGTAAACATTAAATAAGTTAACACAAATTGTTTTTACTAAGTTATTATATTGTAATAATAATGATTAATTCTAATAAGTACCACTAAATATTAATAAGAAATTAAGATGCTTTCTTAGAATAGATTTTAATACATACTAAATATTCTATAAGTATTTGCTTACTTTTTCCAGATTTTTTTTTCTTTGTCTATCTTCTTTCTCCAATCAAATGAAGGACCTGTCCCTAAGGCCTCTCTCAGCTGGAGTTTACAGGTGACCTTCTGGCTTCAGTATTGCCCCTCCCACCCTGCCTCACACATCTTCTCCATTATAATCAGAGTCATCTTTCTGAAACCTCGAGTTAGTCATTAAGCATCTCTAGTGCCTACAGACCTGAGTGCCGAACACTGAGTGCCGAACACGGGCCTCGTGGGTCCAGGACTGCACTCGGCTACCACATCAGCCCTGTCGCACATCCCACCCCGTTCTTCACCTACAGCACACCTACCACCCTGAAGATCCCTCTGCCCTAGGCTCTGTCTCCCCAGACTCCTGCCTGTCCTTTAAGCCCTAGAGGAGGTGTCTTAGATGCCTCTGAGCATTGTAGAACTGTGTTTTTTTGTGATCCTCCTTTATTACATTCTCTATCCTGTTCATGGCCACTTCTCCCTAGCAAATCACTTGTGGGGTCCCCAGTGTCACATGCCTCTGGCCATCTCCCAATCCTGTATACTTGTAAAAAGAAAGTCACAGCCTCAGGCACCTATGAAGAGCTGGCCCCAGAGATTGTTCATTGAGAAGAGGGAGGCAGTTTGCTAACCTCTCACAAGCTGAGACACGCGTATTGTACCCATACCTAGCACCTAAAACTAAAGGGTATCTAATTCCACACCAACAATGAATTGTAAGTTTATCTTACAGGTAACAGAATCAGCCATTCTCCCACTTACCCAGGGACGGCTGCATAACTGATGCTTCCTTCTCTCCCTTACTGCATGTAAAATGTGGATTTCTTGGGCCTCACAAGAATGCAGCCACTGCCTCCTCAGCCTCCCTTCTCTCCCCCCCCCCACCTCTCTCTATCTCTCTCTCTCTTTGTCACACACAAACACACACCCTGCCCCTTTCCTTCTCTCTACATGCTTTTAAAATGCCAAGTGTTCCAACCTCCCCTTTGCCAAAAAACAGCCACAGCTTATATATGGTTCAGTGGTGTTTTTTTCCCAGATGCATCCTCACATCTTGGCTGATTAAACCTCCAGGATTGAGATTTTGCCTCCGTCATTCATTTGGGCTGACATACTGTAGGCACCAAGGACAGCCAGCATTGTTGAGCACCCACCCTCTGCTGGGCACCACTTACGTGCCTTCCCTGTATTAACTTGGTGGTTTTTCACAGCAGCTCTGTGAGACAGTGCCTCATTGGGGGCCTGGCTGGAGACAGAAGCTATACCAATTATTTGAAAAGCTACACCAATTGTTTGAAAGTTTTTAAAATGGTAACTAGGCATAGTGTTCACTTGATCCCAGAAAGAAAAGAAGGAAGGAAGGGAGAGAGGGAGGGAGGGAGGGAGAAAGAGAAAGGAAGGGAAGGAGGGAGGAAATAAGGAAGGAAGGAAGGAAGAGAGAAAAGAGGACAAGAAAATTACCAGAAACATTTCCTACCCCCAGAGCTGGAAGAACAGAGGGAAGAGGTGGGAATTGTTAAAACGTGGGGCCGGGGCCCACCTGAAGCATGGGGTCACCAGCCAGTTCCAGGGACAGTGGCCCTGGACAGAGAAGGGAGGGCAATGAAGTACCTTGGAAAAACTGCACAATGTGCTTAGCTGCTGCTAATGGCAGGAAGTGCCGCTGTGAGCACTGCTCACAGGAAGCAGCAGACGGGAGCCAGAGCCTCTGTGCTCCTCCAGGCTCCCCAAGTCCCTGTCTCCCCCGCCCCACCCCCACTCTGGCCTAACAAGCAGCAACTGGCCAAGTAGAAACAGGGTTTTTGCAGAGTCCTGACCGCAGCTTCATAAAGTCAGTTTGGGGCTGAGAGAGGATAACCTAATAGCCGGCACAGGTGGGAGCTGTTTCTAGGTTCCCTTTTCCCAGATGAGGAAACTGAGGTTACGCAGTGACTCCGTAAGTTGCCCAAGTTTAAATGACTCCCTAGAGCAGAGTTGGGATTTGATCCCCAGGGAACCTGGCCTCAGAGAACTTACTAGTAACCACTCCACCTTAGAGGTCAGTGAATGAGCAAACCAGCAGCCCCATGGTTCGCGCTTAGCCCCACGCCAAGACTTCCTACATGGGCGAGGTGCCTTGCAGCTGACTGCCCCCTTCTCCCCCACCAGGTCATTCACTGGAACTCCCCCAAGAAGCTTCGGGTAAAGAATAAGCACGTGGAGTTTTTCCGCAACCTGTACTTGACCTTCCTTGAATATGACGGGAACCTCCTGAGGCGGGAACTGTTTGGCTGCCCCAGCGAAGCCGACGTCAACAGTGAAAACGTGAGTGGCTTACAGGGTTTGGCAGGGGAGGGGCGGCTTGAGGACGTCCAGCATGCCGGGTCCATGTGGGTCTTGGGGCAGGACGTGGGTGAGTGCAATGCCCAGGTCCACCACCTGCATTAGGTGCTCAATAAACACTTGCTCTGTGCTTTTTCCTTGATCTTCAGTACTAGACACAGAAGTAATTGGTTCATTCATTCTGTCAGCCACACTCACTGAGGGCCCAATTCTTATTCTGAACACTGAGTGTTCATAGGTGAAAAAGGACAATGGCCCTGATGTCAAGGAACTTATATTCTGGTGGAGGAGACATAAATAATAACTTTAAAAAACTCAGAAAAGAAAAACTATCAACGGCATAGCAATGTATTAATGGATCACCACTGGTAGGGGGCGAGGGAGGGTTTCTATGAGGAGGTGATGTTTCATCTGAAACAGGAATGATGGGCATGAGCCAGCCACGGAGGAGCAGGGGCTGTGCCTTCCAGGTGGAGGAGGAAGCTGGGGCAGGGGCCTTGAGGCCGGATGGATTCCTGGTGGGGAAGAGAAGGCTGGCCAGTGTGCAGGGGCTTATGTGGAGGGAGGGGCCAGGTAGGCAGGTGCCAATGGTAGGGGGTTATAAGCTGGGGTACAGAGATAGAATCTCGATTTATTGCCATTATTGTTTTATAGTTATTTTGGCTTTAGACTCCCCACGGCAGGGTAGGCACCTACAGCAGGTCGGAGACATGCACTCACCTGGCCTTCTACCAGGAGGGCTCTGGCCACCATGCACCTCTGCTCTCTGAGGGACAGCAGAGTCACCCTAGCTCCAGGTCTTCTCCAGGTACCCGTGACACTTTCTCAGCATCCACCCTGCCCCGCAAAAGCATCAAGCACTTGAACACTGTCAGATTCTGGGAAGCCCTTGGAGGTTCCCACGTCCACCCTGCTCTTCCGGCTTTCCCTTGAGTTCTCTTTGTTCACACCGGTATTTGACATCACCATCAATATCTGAATGCCCAGTCGGCACTGTTTTCCCAAATGTTAAATGAAAAGCATTCTCTTGCCTCTTTTTTCCCTTCTGCATAGAGGAGGCTCACAGACAGAGCCTTGTGGGATGGAGCCATCAGTTAATCATCCCTCTACGTCAGTCCCTTGGCGAGCCTAGTGTCCCAGGAAGCAGAACTCCCTTTGTAAATGACTCACCGGCTTCTCCTTCCCCTGGGGGATGGTAGGGGTGAGGAAGCATCCGTGGTCTTTCTCGGAACCCTGGGGATGCGGGCCATCTGCCAGGCACTGTGCCCGGCCCTGGGATGGAGATGAGCGGCTGAGTTAGTCACTGTATGTAAGTTGTCTGCGGTTTAACAGCTCTTTAGAGATGCTGGGGAGCAGTAGGTCTGTCTGATCCCTGAGAGGGCCATAAATGAGACGTACAATGACCTTCTGCACACACAGACTCCACGGTAGGTGAGCTACAGCCACCTTCTGTGTGTGCCTTCCACATTCCAGGTTTAACACAAGGCCTTTGTGCTGGCCGTCCCCACTGCCTGGAATCCCCTCTCCCTCAGTGGTTAAATGTCTCAGATGTGGCGTCATCAGAAACTGTCCCTTTCTCCCATCTCCCCTCCAGTCATGACACTCTAAATCGTTTTCTGTGGCATGCCCTACGTTCTTCTCATCAGAACATATACTGCAGCCGAGCACGGTAGCCCATACCTGTAATCCTAGCACTCTGGGAGACAGAGACAGTTGGATTGCTTGAGCTCAGGAGTTTGAGACCAACTTGAGCAAGAATAAGACTTTGTGTCTAAAAAATAACCGGGTGTTGTGGCCAGCACCTGAATTCTGACATACTTGACAGGCTGAGGCACGAGGATTGCTTGACCCGAAGAGTTTGAGGTTGCTATGAGCTATGACCCAACGGCACTCTACCCAGGGCAACAGAGTAAAACTCTGTCATGGAGGGGGAGGAGGGAGGACATACACTGCTATCTGGCTCATGTGACCTGGCTCATGTATTTTTTTCTAGTTGCTTCCTAAATATAGTACTAAAATAGAAGACTCTTAGACGAGAGATGCTGTACTTTGCTCTGGGCTTCCCTCCCCTACGATAGAATAAGAACATCCCAAGCACTTAATCCACATTTATTTAATGAACATCCTGAGCAAATTTAAGAGAAGAGAATGAGGCAGCAGGTAAGGGGAAGTGCAGATGAAGGCGCGAAGCCTGGGTGCTGGTGGTTGGTAGGAGCCTGCAAGCACGGTGGGAGGCGGGAAGGTACAGCCAGGAAGGGCCTTGGCTTGGGGACTTGCCCCTTCTCCTGTCAGCAGGAGGAGCCACTAGAGGTTTTAGTCATGGGCAGATTTACGTTTCAGAAAGATCGCTCAACAGAGAGAATAGAATGACAGGGACTGGACTAGAGCCAGGGTGACCACTAGAGGCTATTACCACGTCCCGTCCCGGGTAAGAAGACGAAGGAGAGGAGGGGCTCTCTGACCTACGACAGCCCTGCAGGAATGGAGGGAGCAGGTGATTGTTTTGTGGGTGCTGAGAACAAGGGAGAAGGTTCAAGTAGGGCTCATAAATCAAGCAGCAGGTGCCCGAGCCTTGCTTCAGCCTGGTCCCTCCGCTGGCTGAGTCTGCCAGCAGGGCAGTGGACGGGGCGGAGAGACACTCTGTACACACTGCACTTCTGATCCGCTGCCCTGCAGGGAGTCCTGCCACCTGGTCAGCGCAGCAGCTTGCAAACACAACCGGAGGGAAAGGGTACGATCTTGGATCCAGCCCAAAGCCGGATGCTCCCAGCTCTGCTCGGAGAGGTCATTAGATCTGTAATAAGTGCACAGATGGTGGTGAATCTGGAAGAAACAAAATCAGGAACCTCTTCTTTGGGCTCCAGTGATAGTATCTAAACCTCAAGACTCTACTCATTGCAGTCATCACCAGCCACAGGGCTGGTGGCCCAGCAGGCAGCACTGCAGATGGCACCTGACCCTCCCAGTGCTTGTCCAGTGGGGGGATGCAGACAGTGGTTCATTGTCACGCGGCGTGACTGAGTCCCAGCATGGCACTTTGAGAGCACACAGATGGAGCCTTTCACAGTACTATGAAGAGAGGCTGAATCAGGGAAGACTTCCTGGAGGAGGTGAGATTTGAAAGTTGAACAGATAGGAATGAGGGGTCTGGAGGGTAGACTCAGAGTGAAGGAAGGAGCAGCAGAATAGTAGAGACCAGAGATGAGTGTGCGCACAGGACCCTACGGGCACTGTAGGGCTCAGATTTGAACGAAGGCCAGGTGAGAACTAGAGAGGGCAGCACAAAGTAATTTTTGCCTTATTTTTTATTTTTTGTACCGGAGGAATGATGCCACTGCTGACGACGGTGATGATGATGGTGTGGTCTCTCTGGTAAACCAGATGGCACATTTTGATAGACACATCACCTCAGAGAAGTCACATAAATGCCCTGAGCCTCAGGTTTATTGTCTGGTAAATGCGGAAAGTGATGCCTTTGTCATAGTGTCTTGAGGACAGTTTGTGTTTAAGTCACCAAAGCAGAAGGAATTGGCCCCAGGAACACAGTGACTTGTCTGATGGCAGTCCCTTGTTCCACGAATAAGTTTTGAGTTTTGTTAGCAGCAAGGAAGGCCCGGCAGAGAGAGGAGCCTGCAGAGTCACTTAGAAATCTGTCTGTAAATGATGGGAGTCGCTGTCACATTTTCTCTGGGTCAAAGAAGCCGGGTGTTCTCACCAATTAAGAAATTCAGGGTACAAAGAAGAGGCCATTTGGTTTGCCTTGCTACCAAAAAAAGTAAACGCATCTAGGCAGAAATTCAACTCTTCAGCAAGGAGCTAAGATGGAAGGAGCAGGACCCCATATCAGAGCCTGTTGGGGGACTTACTTGAGAACAAGACAGCTGGGTTTGAAAGAGACCAGCCCCCTACCCCCACCCCAATGGTGGAGAGTGATTGGATGCAGCCACTCCCCCCACTTCTCTCCCTGGAACCAGTAAGTTCTTTATATGATGCATAATACACATTCTGTATGCACTGGTTATTATTAGTTGATTGAAGGAGAGATGGAGTTAGAATTCTATGCGTTAGCATTTCTTTCCCTTTTCCCTCAGTAACCCAGCCCCTCTAGAATATCCAAGAAACTCTGGGACTCCACAAAACACAGCTGGGTAATCACAGATATTCTCCACAGCCTTATCTGCTCAAAAATCCTTCTTCAGTATCCCTAAGAGGCTTGCATCTGGCTTCTGCTGCAATTCTCCCAAGGACAAGTTGCTCACTACCTCCCAGGCAGCTCACTCCGCTGTTGGAAGGCTCCAGATGCCGATCTGTGCTACCTTGTGCTGGGCTGACATCCTCCCCTCCATGAGAAACGCTATTCACCTGAGTCCTGTCCTCTGGAATATCCAGTCAAAAACAGGCACAGACCGCCACCCATCCCTGACAGCTAGGCAGATGGTATAGGATTTTTCCATACAGTTTGCTGTTCAGAAAGACTCAGCTCTCCCTGAGAGAGTTTGCAGAGTGCTGCTTTATCTTCAAGAGGGTCTTGCTGCACCTGAAGGGATTTCCAGATAAACTAAGTTCATCTCTTCAAGGGCAAAACCATTAAAACAGACGGGTTTTTAACCAGTTTGGGTGGGACCCTTGCTGAAGTACATGCCCTTCCTTTAGAAGCCAGATGCTCAACTGAGTTTACTGTTAAACTCAGTTTATAATCTTTGATGACTAAGATTGTACTAAGTAGGCTGGAAGGGACAAGAGTTGGCCCGAGGAGGGAAGATGCTGTTTATCCCGGCAGGAAAGAGCCTCGGATGATTCGCTACTTATCTTATGGTTTCTTTGCTGACAGCTGTCACTTTCGGTTTATCAGCTTCGGAATAACCTTTCTGGGTTCATGGCCTTGTCCCTCCTTCTCCAGGCAGCCAAAAAGCAAATCGAAACACAGAAATCCACAAAAGCATTTAATTCAGGAAGGCCAGTGGTAAAAGAACAATCTGTGA